TTTTTTTCCCCCTCCCAAAACAAACTTTTTAAAGTGAGTTTTCCCCTTTAACTAGAATTTCGACAGTGGTTCCCAGCCTTCCCAATACTGTGACCTTTTAATACAATTCTTCATGTGATGGTGACCCCAACCATAAAATTATTTCTGTTGCTACTTCCTTCATATTTTACTACTGTTATGAATCATAATGTAAATATCTATGTTTTCCGATGGTCTTAGGCAAGCCCTGTGTAAGGGTTGTTGGAGAAACACTGATTTAGACAGTGAACATTAAATGTCACAGAGCAACATGCTTTGGTGTTGCATTTTCTTTTACAGTATCAACACCAACTACATTTGTTCTGAAGGACAAGGCTTTAGGACAAGAGTCTTAAAGTATGTCTTTCAAAGCAAGTCTCTAGCATTGACTGTGTTTCCTGAAAGAATGCTTTCTCTGAGCTTACACACGAACAACCCACAGGATGAACCACGGAGAGAACAAGACACACAGCATTACAGCTGCTTGTTCTGCCCCAGAAAATCCCGTATGTGCTATAGCTGAGAAACACTGCTTCTGAAGCAGACTGTGTACACGTACTGAATGTGCAGTTTTAGGAGGCCGATAGTGGTGCCTTTGTTTGGATGTCATCATCAGCTCAGCAAATGAGCCTGTTTCAACAATGAGGGTTTGAATAAAGTAATAAGAACGGACGACACCACAAATACCTCACGCTTTGGGGGCAACTATTGCCCTTAAAATGAAGTCATGGGCAGTAAGGACCCCATTTCCCTGACTCATTGCCTCTGTGCTTTTGCAAGGCCTTGACTGAGCAGAGTTCAGTTACTCATCCTGTGGGCACTGTGGCATGCATATAGCTGCTTGTGTAACTGGCTTTTTCAAGGAAAAGCATGTCTGAGGGGCTGTACTGCTCTAAGGTTCCTTTCTACTGTCAGTCAGAGGCCTAGGTGTTGCTAAAACCGTATCTCCAGATCTCCTGAAGATATTTTGTTCTTCCTAAAATTTCTCTTAGAAGAGTCCACAAAACAAGAAGATTCAACTCTCTTCTGTAACTTTTGGGTGGCGTGTCTCAGTTTTTACTCACAGGCCCTGATCCTTTGGGGCTGAGGCGGGCAGTGGTAGGGAGGACGTGACTTTCTAGTCCTCACCCATGCCACCTACACCTTGCAAATTTCTCCTCCCTCTGATGACAAGCCTTAAGCTAAGCCATGCTTCCTGGGCCAACTGTATTGCTCTTGACAGGAGCCCTTCCTCAGGAGGCGCCCCAACCCCACGCAAATGCATGCGTTTGAAGTTCACCTCCCAAAGTTGAGTAAGAAATACCAAGAGGGCAGAATTCCAGCAGTGACCTTGGCTTTGGATTATCTGGAAGTCTCTCACCCTTCCTCTCCCTAACCTGTTTTATTTTATTTTTTGTCTTTTTTTCCTACAAAATCAAGAACTTTTTAGTGAAATAACCATAGAAGAAAATACTGAAAAAAAATACCTTTCTGTAATACTTTAAAAAGAGGAAATACAATTCAGAGCAGGACTATATAGATTTCATTGAGACCTTAAAACAGCTTGATGCCTTTGAAGTTGAACTGCTGCTAAATTTAATGCAGGGTTCACGAGAACAAAGCTGAAAATCTGCCCTCCTTGTGTTTTGTCTGCAGTAAGAGCATTCAGAGCTCTGCAGAGACAGCAGTGAAGCGCCCTCTGCATTGCCGCCTTCCTCAGCCCTCCTCACGTGCCCCAAAACACAGTCTCTTGGACCTGGCCATGTGTGGAGGCAACTGATTTTAGATCTGCAAACTGAAAACATGGCAGCTGTGTACGATATAGTTAAACAATCACATTGAAGAAGGAATTTCAGTTCACAGCTCCAGGCTCTCTACAGTGAATGAATGATATAGCGAATTAAACACATGGTGGTTGGTGGTTTGCCAACAGGACCAGCTTGGGGTGACTGCTCAGGAAGCGGGTTCACTGGCCCAGACTCTTCTCCTTCCTGCCCCTCCCTGTCTCTAAGCAGGGACTGTGTGGGGCCTCTGTAAAGTTTCCCAGGGCTATCGTGTATCATGAACTAATGCTGCTGGAGTTGAGGCAAATGGAGACCCTTGAGGCTGTTCAGCAATTTGAACGCACCTGTGTTGTGTGTCTCTGGCAGTGGGCAGGTTCAAGGTTGAACAGGAATGAAGGGCTTGATTCATGGAAACGCCCTTGTTGTTTTGCTAGATTTCCTGACTACGAAGACTGGACTTGCCCCAAGGAACTAGGTCTAGAAGAGTCTATGTCTCCCTTCCACTCTACTCTTCTTTCTCTCTTACCTAGTATTGGGGGCCGGGGTTGGTAGGGAGGTAGAGGTATAAGAATCCAAATAAAGTAGATAAAATTTTGCCAACAATTTCCACAGGCTGTGACTCTGGGTCTTGGGTCTTTGTGGTATATTTTCTCTGCTTAACTTAACTTTTTTATTTTTCCCAGTTCTTTCCACCAAAGCCTTATCCAAATCACCACTGCAGACAGAGTTGTAGATTTGGGCAGAGATAAAGGTATAGATATGGTGAGGGCATTAAATCCAGAACTTTAGCCATTCTGGACAGGCTCTGTATCACTGAGCTATAACACAGTCCTACTATAGTTTTCTTTTAGGAATATAAGTCTGATTTCTGGCTTGTAAACACCCACCGGCCTCATTCCTCATAGTAAAAAGATAAAGTCCATGCAGACTTCCTGGGATCTGCTTTGGATCCTTTCTTCTTTCTTCTCCATCCCACTCGCGTTCTCTCTGTGCAGGCTGCACTGAAACATGTGAATTCCCTCCAGCACTCTCAGCTTTTTCTCATCTTCAGATCTTTGCCTGTGCTGTTTCCTATGCTTGAAACACTTCTCCAGCTCTTCCCTGCCTCTTCCGTTTCCTCTGCTATGCGTGGTTGTAGTTTTGATGTCTCATCCTCCAGACACCCCTTCCCAACATCATCTTCTGCTCTCTTCCCTTCTCATCTCCCATGACATCCTTCTTGCTTGCCCACTTGGAGGCAGTTACCACCTGATATTTAATTATCTATTCCTTCATCTCTCTCCTGCTGTATGCTATAATTTTAAACAACAACAACAAAAAATGGTTTCCTGTTCATTCCAGAGTTCTTACAGTGCTTGGCAGTTGGGTAGGTACTCAACACATACTGCTGGATGGCAAGTTGCCAGTCTGGACTTTTCAGCTTCATATGTGTGATGGATAGGAGGGTTTGAGCGTGGTGTCCCCCTGCTGTCCATTTTAGACATGGCTGTGCCACGTTCACTCACTTATCACTCACTCATTCCATGGTGGAATAAACCCTAAAGGGATCGTAAGGTAAGACTATGGGACATAGTATGCTTTAGGATTATGTTTTCAATAACCAATTGCAGGTAAATCAGATGTACAGCAGGATAGGCTCCCAGTCTGATGGATCTTGAGCCCTAAAACTATTTTAAGAGTCAGTCAGGATCAGGTTGATATTTGATATGGCAAACAAGTATGTCCTGAGGGACGGGACGAAGATGTCTTTAAGCTTTGAGCATCTTCTGTGTTTGGTTTAAGGTGACCCCGTAGCTGAGCTCTTTTTCATTTCTCCATCCTCCATAGAAAGAGGAGCCGAAGAACTCCTACCTCAGAGGGAGGAACTGTTCTACATGCCTTTAGTTCTGACTAGGTGGGGACTGAGGCAGGAAGAATCCTTTGATCCCAGAAGCCTGGGGAATACAATGAATCCTCTTCTAAAAAAAGGGACTGGAACATCACATAACCCTAAAAAAAGAAAAATAGACCCCACCTTTTTTGTGAAGCCAGATCCCAATAGCTAGTTTCTAGTCAATAATTCTCTGAGCAATTTATCCATTTGATACACAGAACTTAAATATTCTGAGTGCATTATTAAGATTTTTAGAAATCGGTTGTTTTAAACAGTGAAGTTAATCTTCCCTTTCAGGTTTAGGGTGAGTTGTGGTCTTCACTGCTGTTCATTCTTCAGGCAGCACTGTCTTTCCTCTTTCTTTCCTTTTGAGGTAATTCTTCACCATGCCCACAGAAAGTTGCTGAGCGCAGGGATGGGACAGATGAATTCCACTCGGGTTCTCAAGGGTATGTCTGGAGCTTCCTGCACTCAGCCAGTGTGCGGGGGGGGGGGGGGGGGGGGGGGCTCGTCATTGCCATTCCACACTGACTAAAGCTGGGTCAGAATGCCTATGGTGAGAGAGGGTTGCCCGAGGCAAATGGCTATCCCTCCCTGTGGAGAACCAGCTTTCAGGACTTTCAAATGCCACAAGAACCTCCCCCATGCTTTCTTCTCTTTAAAATAGAAATGTCACAAGCAAGTCAAGTACATGGGACAGATAAAAGTGGCGCCTCTATGGCGGAAGGCAGGAGAATGGGAGGGGAGTGGGGACAAGAATTACCAAGTCCCAGCCTCCAGCCCCCATGTACTGTAAAGAAGCCAGAGCAGAGCCACTTCATACGCCCTGAAGGATGCTCTTACTGCAGGATGTCGCTAAAGGCATTGTTCTCTCACATTGTTCTTTCTAGAGAGATCCACAGAAGTTTCCCCCACACATCTCAATTTCAGAAATCCTTGCAATTGTTACTATATTAAGTATAATATGTTTTACTTTTTTTTTAGAATTTCATACATGTACATGATGTGTTTTGATCATACTTTACAAGCATTATTTTTTTTCTTTATGGAAGGCATGGCAGATGACTCATTTCTCATTGGCTACTAGCAAACCCTGGGACTGCCCTGCACATAGTCTACAAACTGAAGAAGCTACATCTAAGATGCTGGTAAACTTTTTCTGTCTTGTTTTACTTTCTCTCTGATTCTCATATTCTTTTTTTTTTTTAATTTCTATGTTACTTATGTGTACACTCTGTAGAAATCCTTCTGTGAATAAAATAGGATAAAAACCAAATATATGAATGCATACATATACTTTAGAAAACCAAGCAGAGAGTCTCAGTGACCACCACGTGATCACTTACCTCATTGGGGTGGAATCCATCTACGGCTTCAATAAGCTGCCACGGCTGGCCACCTCTTTTCTGCCACTCCTCTATGACTAGAAAACACACAATCAGAGGGTTACAGATGAGTTTCCTAATGCCAAGGACAAGGAGCTCATATGATGTCATCTAATCTCTCCTACTCTTTTAATTTTTGTGTATGAATGTTTTGCTTGCATGCATGTCTGTGTACATGGAGACTAGAAGAGGGCAGCAGATCCCTGGATTAAAAATGGTGTTGAGCTACCATGTGGGTGATGAGACTTGAACCCTGGTCCTGGGAGAGCAGCCAGTGTTTTTAACCACTGAGCCATCTCTCCAACCCCCCTTAAATCTACCCTGCCAGGCCTTGTTTTATCTCATCATGGCTTTTTCTGAGCTATGCTTTGGGCTGGGAGTTTTCTGCACAGCAATGATCTACCCATTATGTGATTTTTTTTTTCTAAGTCAAGAAAGAACATGTGTGAAAAAGCTGGTGAATCTGCCTTGTGTGGCAGGGAGGGCAGGGGAAGTCAAGTGAGCGCTAAAATGAGTAGCAACAATTTAAGTCCATTTGATCTTTTTTCCTCATGTGGTGGCACAATGCCTCTTTGCAGAAGCAAAGATGACATTTTGCTAACATCTCCTTTCATGTGCCACCATTTGCAGACACTGCCTACGTGTGTCAAGCAATCACCCCTAACAATCATACAAGGTGTCAGAAATATAATTATATAAAATTATCTCAACATTGCATTCAGAGAGAGCATGGCTACAGAGAAAATATTATGAGCCCCAAAGTGACGAAAAGTAATAAAACTGTCCTTCAACAGGGATAAGAGAGTATGCATGTCAGTTTCTCCCAGGCAGCAATGCAATTAATTCTAGGTTGTAATATCACAAAGCCAGTAAAACTTCCTCAAGGAAATTGCAGTCCCCAGAGAGCCTTCAGGCAGAATCATCCGAGACTTCGGTTCCTTCCAGAACGCCTCACTTTCCTGGTCTTCATCGAAGCCAGAAGTGCAGCTACGATTCCAATTGTTCTTCTCACCTCTCTCTGCAAGTCTCCCCAGCCTCAAGGGCAGAGGAATGCCCCCTTTCCTTTTTCTTACTCCAGGAAAGGATGGAGACACTGTCTGGTGAAGTCACCACATTAGACTGAATCAATCCTCTGTTGCTTTTGTAGTTATTGCAGAGATGCCGTCCCCTCTTACTGCTCCACCCTTTCCCCCGGAGGTGACAAATAATGTCCCCCTTGTCAGCGTTCAGGGTGAAATGTCATGCTGATGGTCTGCTTAGTGTATTCTTAGGCAGTATGGTACTAGGGTGGTTCTTTCTCTTCTTTCTTTGGTTGAGAGGGGCCTCACACTTGCTAGATATATAAGGATTACTTTGAACTCCTGAGCCTCCCACCCCTACATCACAAGTACTAGCATTACAGCACCAACATGCCTTGCTCCTTGGGATCATTTTATAGTGTGCTGATGGACTTTCTGGTAGTTGCTAGAAGAAGCTGCTGTTGGCAACTAGCATTTGCATTTCTTGTAAGACTCAAAATGAGTTGTTCACTGTGCCATTGAGTTATGATGTAGACCCCATATGGAAACCCAGATTGCCTTATGCTGATAGAGGAGGGTTCTTTTTTTTTTTTTTTCCTGAGGAATGGAATGAATTTGTTCTTTCAATGGAAAGCTACCAGCTGCACTGATAAGGAAGCCACACTTAGTTTTATGAAAGAGAGGGATCAACTGGTTCTTCTAAACCAGATGGCACACAGTATGTTTCCTGACTTTGGCGGCAGTGTCCTGTAAAAAGGAGTGGCCCCAGGAAGCTGGCCTGCCTCTGTTTCCAGTTGTTTATCTGTTCTGCCTCTTTTGTGGGGCACAGCTCTGTTTTAGGTTCAATTCCAGATGCTCTAAATTCTCCAGCATGTCATGCTGGGCTCCAGGTCACCCTTCCTGACTGCACGGCTGCCATTGCCTGCTCAGGGATGCTGCTGGCCTGTGTCCCACTTAGCCTGCTCATCTGCTGTGCAATCTACTCATGCTTGCTTAAGCCTCTTAATCTCCCTCTTGTCCAGGAGATGAGTCACTTTTATTCCCATTTCTGGGACTTGCTTTTCAAATTTCTAGCTCTGTGTTGATTGTCTATCAAATCCACCTCCAGTCTGAACATCTGACAAGTTACTTGCAGTGAAAGAGCAAGGAATTTGAGGAGTTTCTACAAATGCAAAGCTGAGGTCACCTCTAAGAACTCTTGGGTGCTCTTTATCCTGTGGTATCCATCTCCTCTCTCCTTGAATGCATATGGAGGTCTCTAACACAGAGATTGACAAACGCGTGGTGGGTCAAGGTTTCCACCCAGTACAGACATCAGCCTCCAGTCATTGAGACTTTGGAGGTGACATTGCTTCCATTTCCTTTTGTACTTTTCACTTCACTCATTTCCTTTATTTTTAGATTCAGCTCACTTTCTGCTGTGCAGGTGTTTACGGAAGAAGGAATAAAGATGATCTCCAACAGGATACTGGATGGACCGATGTCGGGGTCATTCTCAAGTTCATACCCTGAGAGACTAATCCTGCTGTGGCTTGATAAGAGGTGGAGCCTTTGGGATCTAGCTAGGCCATGAAGTGGAGCCTTCATGGATAGATGTAGTGTCCTAATAAAATGTGTCCCAGAGAGCTTTTGCCATGAGATAGTTTAAAAAGCCAGTGGAGGGCTCTCACCAGAACCCAACTGTGGAGGCACTGTGGTCTTGGATTTATATCCTCTAGGACTGGGTGAGTAAAGTTCTGTTGTTTATGGACCACCCAGGCTATGGTACTTTAATATAGTAGCCCAAGATGACTACTAGATATTCAGAATTCCTCGGTAGTATTCATAAGACCAGGCCAGGAACTGAGCTCAACCAAGTCCTCAGATATAGCCTGCTGGAACATTGCAAGAAGTGAATGAGGAAAGTCATGAGTTAGAGACCTTTTATACCGAATAGACACCTAGTGAGCTGTGGACTTGATCTAGATCTCTGGGGTTTCTCTTGAGTGCTGTGGTAGGAAGCCTCATACATGACTTTTGGACTTTTCATATTAGCAGAAACGATCGAGTGAAAAGTTTAGCCCAAACGGCTGCTATCCCAGCTAAGGAATTCTCATCATCACTATACTCAAACAGTTCTACATGGTATCAACAATAATGTGTTCCTCCCTCATGGGAAACTTTTTCATTCTTCCAAACTCTGTTTCAGCTCTGTAGACTTATGTGGCAGAGTCCAGCCTTCAGACTAACCGGTTTGCCCTATGAAATAATAGTTAATATTGAAAGAACACGGCACACAGTTACCAAGAATACAGTCAGTCAGTCCACAGGAGAAACATTTTTTTCCACACAATTTTTGTGTCTTCGTAGGTACTGGTGTCTATACAGAGGGAGGCATTTTTACTGTAAAATTATGGATAGGTAACTCACAGGCAAGACTACAAGGTTTTATGTGAACCTCAAATATTACCAGGTGGAATGATTCTTTTTTAATTTTTAATAATTATTTATTACAACTTATTCCCTTTGTATCCTGGCTGTGGCCCCCTCCCTCCTCTCCTCCCAATCTTTCCTCCTTCTCTCCCTCTTCTCCTCCTATGGCCTTCACCTAGTCCACTGATACGGGAGATCTTCCACCCTTTTTCTCTGACCCTGGCCTATCAGGTCTTATGAGGACTGGTTACATTTTCTTCCTCTGTGGCTTGACAAGGCTGCAATCCCCAGAGGGAGGTGATCAGAGAGCCAGCCACTGAGTTCATGCCTCAGACAGCCCCTGCTCCCCTTACTAGGGAATCCACTTGGAGACTGAGTCTATGGGCTACATCTGTGCAGGGGTTTTAGGTCCTCTCCATGAGTGGTTCTTGGTTGGGTTATCAGTCTCTGCAGGGACCCCAGGGCCCAGTTTTGTTTTGCTTCTTGTTTTTTGGCTTTGTTGGTCTCCTTTTGGAGCTCCTATCCCCTCCAGGTCTTTCTATCTCCTCCTCCTTTCATAAAATTCCATGCACTCTGCCCAAAGTTTGGCTATGAGTCTCAGCGTCTGCTTCAATACCTTGATCAGTAGAGCCTTTCAGAGACTGTCTGTGGTAGGCTCCTGTCCTGTTCCCTGTCTTCTGCTTCCGATGTCTATTTCATTTGCCCTTCTGAATGAGGACTGAGCATCTTCACTATGGTCTTCTTTGTTGTTTAGCTTCTTTAGGAGTATAGATTTTAGTATGTTTATCCTATATTATACGGCTAATATCCACTTATGAGAGTATCTACCATGTGTGCCTTTCTGCTTCTGGGATACCTCACTCAAGATGATCTTTTCTAGTTCCCACCATTTACTTGCAACTTTCATGATTTCCTTGTTTTTAATTGCTGGATAGTATTTCATTGCATAAATGTACCACAATTTCTGTATCCATTCCTCAACTGAGGGACATCTCGGTTGTTTCCAGGTTTTGGCTATTAAAAATAGAGCTGCTATGAACATGGTTGAGCATGTCCTTCTTGTATAGTTGAACATCTTTTGGATATATGCCTAGGAGTGATGTAGCTGGATCTTGAGGAAGCACTATTCCTAATTGTCTGAGAAAGCACCAGATTGATTTCCAAAGTGGTTGTACAAGTTTACATTCTCACCAGCATTGGAGGAGGGTTCCCCTTTCTCCACATCCTCTCCAACATGTGTTGTCACTTGAGTTTTTGATCTTAGCCATACTGGTGGGTGTATAGTGAAATCTCAGGGTCATTTTTATTTGCATGGAATGACTCTTTGTGACAATTTCATGATATGATTCTACTTTTTCAGAACTGCAACAGTAGATATGGCATTTTTTTTCCTCAATTGATTTTAGAGTGGGAGGGCCCATGAAAGTCAATATGGCAAATTGGTCTTTCCCATTTGTGTGTGTGTGTGGGGGGGCTGTAGGAAAATCTTGAGACAAAGCTTCTCACTGAATTTGGAGCTCACCAGTTTGTCTTGCCTCTCTGGTGAAAGAGCTTCTGGGATCTGTCTAGACACGTGCCATTGTACCCTACTCATATGTGGGTGCTGAGGATCTGAACTCAGGTCCACATGCTTATGTAGCAGGCACTTTTCCAACACAGCTATCCCCCAGTCCTTCCTATTTGTGCTTTGTAAGAAATAAATTTAGCTTCTTGAAAGATCATGGAGCATCTGTAGGGATTTGGTGCATAATATATTTTATCTGTAAGTCAGAGAAATTCCATTCACAGACATCTTTTCAAAGAACCTCAGAAACAGTGGAGGAAGATTTATAGGGCATGTGGTAGCTCTTCCTTTGATGAATTGCAAGCTAGCTGATATTTAAAATAGAAATCTGCATTCATACCGGGGAGGGAACAAAGAGTCTAAGTTTACTACAGCTGGGCTGTCTTTGAAGCCAAGGGCAGTAGGAGGTGTTTTTAAACTGTCAACGTGAAAGTGGCTTTATCAGCCAAGTGGTATTTCTTTCCACCACTGGGAAGGTGAAGTAGAAAGGGAAAGAATGTCACATGATCAAGTTGACATTTTTTTGGAGGCAAGTTTGCTACTTCTGTTTTGTTCATAACCAGTTGGAGAATGAGTCAGCAAAAAGACAAAAACAAAAAACAGAACAAAACAATAAAACGACATCAGCGCATGAGCTGTCTGTCACCTTTCAGTGCTGGACCCAGGCTGTCACAATGGAGAACGAACAGGTCTTCTGCCTTCCTCCAAGTGACAGGGATGCTCAGCTATGAAGTTTTTTGTCACAAGAACATGCAATTGTGAATTTCAGTTCACAATTGGAGGGCTTTGGTGGTGTGGTAGTCATCTCTCACACAGTGTGGAAAGAAGGACAATGTTCACAGGACTCCAGACTGCACATTTAATAAATGCTTCTACCGAGTTTCACTTCTGATGAAAGGACATCTGGGTGATAATGAGCTACATTTATACCATACCCTCCTCAGGGAACTTGGGGAAGCATTTCCTTAGGTATGAAAGATGACAGGAAGTGTTTGGACACACACATGAAAGAGAATGCTTATAAGGAAGACTATAGGGGTGCATTACACTCAGTGATAAAGGAGCCAGTGGATGATGCCAGCTAACAGTTACAGGGTCCTTGCTGGTCTACAATTCTGTGATCTGTGCCTGAACTGAGATAAGAACACGGTTATAAATTCTAGGCTCTTTCTACAGTTGTAAGTTACAAGCAGGGTGGTAATGTGCTGCCATGATCTCTAGGATGGGAGGTTACCCCCAGAAATTGATCTGGAGTGGACGATCCTTCTAGCTAATCTAATAAATGTTAGGATTTCAAGTCTAAAATTCCTAACTTGGCCACAAGCCAAGACATTATAATAGTTCCTGAAAGGGTGATAAAAATTCTGGCCCTCTCAGAAGCAGTCATGGCAGTACATAGTCATTAAATGTTGCATGAGGTGTTCTTACGGACAGATCCCAGAACACCTTTCTCTGCCTCTACTCTCTCTTTTACTATGTGCATATGTCATCCCTGTTCAGGTGCTCGGCGACTTCAGATGGATAAGAAAGGACTGGCAAAGCTGGATCTTCACATTGTTTTTAAAAAAAAAATGGTGGAGAGATTATGAAGCAGGAAAATGATTACACTGTTGATAGGAATTTCCAAGCAAGGGACTTAATACTTATATGTGGGAAATGGTTGGGGGAGGAAACAAAGACGTTTTCTTCAGTGGTGTAGCCATGGCTAAGGTGCGTCTGTTTCTGTAAGCGAATTCCCACCCAAGCACCTGCAAATGCCCCTAATCAAACCCGTTGTGCCCCACATAGACATAGGGATGTGAAAGTAAGGGGCGGCTAGCTGGAAATTGGAAGAATATTGATTGGGTGGGGGAGGAGGACAAGAGAAAGTAGTGGGTGGTGAATATGACTGAAATCTATTATGTGCATGTTCGAAATTTCATAATGAAACCATTATTATGCATAATTAATGCATGCTAATAAAAACACTTAAAACGGAATCCCCTCTTGGAGATTTGGAACCAGAGAGGTGAGAGATGCCCAGCGAATTGCCTGCAGCACCAGAGATAATGAATGACGGTTGTAGAAATCACCCTGGACAATAAAAAATGTCCCACGTGGAGGTTAGGCATTATTAGATTTTTAATAACTTTGCTCACATTCAAGGATGGTAATGATCAAAGATCACTTGGAGGTGCATTTGTTTACACCAAGAAGTCATTAATAAGTCTTTAACTCTGCATTTTAATGAGAGGTTATTTATCAAAAATGTCTCTCCCCATGAGAGAGATGTGTCATGTAAGCAGGAAATCTAGTAAAGACAGATCAGTCTTGTTGAAAGGATGTTCAGAGCTGAAGGATTAGAGTCTGCAATGCAAAACGTGTCAGCTAATGTAATATTCAATAATTCATGATGGCCATCTGCTCCACTCCAGATGCCTGGGCTGGGGGCTGTGGGGTTGTGGGTGAGGGACAGAGATGAGAAATCTCCCCTCTGCTGCACACATTGAAGCATTTCATTAGCATCGTCTCAGCTGGCAGTCAACCAACAGGGGCTTTTCTAGTGCAGAAAAATTGCTTAACAATGAAAATTAATCTTGGGAAGGTTTTAATCAATAAATAGTTTTTTTTGTTTTGTTTTGTTTTTTGAAAGTCAAGATGTAAAGGATAAATCAGTGGCTCCAGTTAGCAGACCCGAGTCTGTGTGGCTGCTTGTCAGTGACAAAATGCAATAAATGAAAAAAAAAAATTCTTCCCAGAGAGTTGGATCTACTTTTTTTTTTTTTTCCCTCCCTCTAAGAGCTTTTGATTAGTTTCAGGTCTGGGCTTATTCAAAGTAGTCTACCACAGGAGGCACGGTCTCACTTTTCCCTTCTGTCCCCTCTAGTTTTAGCACACACGTGAACGTAGGCGATCTCATTAGCCTAGAGACTTCTGGCCCAAATTCTCCCCAATGGGCTACCATTCCTGTTGCTTTGAGAGATGACGGTGAAGTGAGGAGGTGATGTTGAGTCTCACACTGTCAGAAAAATGCCTCATGCTTTTTCTCTCCCCAATGCAGAGAGCTACCATGTCAGGTAGGCGGGGCTGACCCTGCCTAGTCTGCTCTGTGTGCTTTGTAATATGGCCCCCCACCCCTCCCACTGCGGCTGGGGGGGTTGTTGTCTACTGTCAAGACAAAAACAAGCCACTTACTTTCGTGGAAGGCGAAATCCATGTAGAAAAGACTGAAGTTTGAGAATGTCTTGGCGGCTGCAATTTTTTTCAGTGTATTGGAGAGTTGTTCTGCTCTCTGAATACAAGGGAAACAGAATTCCATGAAACCTCAACTTTGACTTTCATGAGACAATTCAGGCAGAAAAAGAAATTGATTTTCCACACACCACTCCACTTTACTATCTCCAAGCCATCAGCAGAAAACAGCTCTGCACATTAAAGTGTATTCATGTGCAAATGACCAGTGAACACGAAAAATGTTACTATTCATTACAAATCAAACCAGTGTAAATTAAAGTAATAAGAATCTGCTTTTTCTGCATGGGTTTGTCAAAGATGAGATGAACAACCTTGACGTTACTGAATGTCAGAGGGCGAATGAATGAAAACGTAGGTTAGTTTCATCGTTTAGACAATAGCTTGGCAATACGGACCAAATCCTTAGCATGACCACCAATATGACTCATAGGAACTTGTGTATAGGAAATAGAGACAACACAAAACATACGTCTTGTTATTCATCATGATGAAGAACTGGAAATAACTGTGTGTCTAACTCCAGAAAAGGACGGAATACATTTTGCCACGCTGTCATGCTAAACGATTGCAAACAGTTGTACAATTATAATGTGGATGGAGGAGCAATTTGTAAACACTGGAATTTGTATGTGTATTCTCAATCTAGTAGGCAAAACCCCAAGATACTTATCTTTTAAAGTGATAACAGGCACTCACATACTGATACATCAATGATATTTTTTTTTCTCTGCACATGTGCCTGTCTGTAGGTATGTATGTACATATGCATACATGTGTTTAGAGGCCAAACGATGGCCTCACACATTACTGCTTAGGATCCATTCACATTGGTTATGGAGAGGAGCTTCATTGGCCTAGATCTGTTCATTGGGTTAGGTTGGCTGGATGGCTAGTGAACCCCAGGGGTTCTCTTGACTCCACCTTCCCAGCACTGAGATTACAGGTGTATGTCACTGCCTCAGCTTTCTCACATGGGTGCTAGGGATTGGACTCAGTCCTCATGATCACATGGCAAGCACTTCACCGACTGAGGGTGCTGTCTCCCCAGCTGAATTTGTGTGCGTGTGTGTATTTGTGTATTGTATGTGCACGTGTGTGTGTGTGTGTGTGTGTGTGTGTGTGTGTGTGTGTGTGTCTGTGTGTGTGGATGGGCACTGAGATCAGAGAAAGATGTTGGAGGCTTGCCTTGTCACTGGTCACTCCGCCTTACTGCCATGAGACTGGTTCTCTTACTGAACCTGGAGGCAGGCGGGCAGCCAGCCCGCCCCAGTGATTTGTCTCTGTCTCTCATGGCACTGCAGTTATGGGCCCGTGTGCAGCTATACCCAGCGTTTTATGTTTGTGTTAGTGATTTGAACTCAGGCTCTCAAACTTGTGCAGCAAATGCTCTTAGCTACTAAACCATCTTCCAGCCCCAAAGTTATAGTTCAGTCCTCAAACTTGTTATCCTCCTGCCTCTGCCTCTTCAGCATAGCCTACCAATGTGTACCATCACAGCTGGCTGCAGCCCAATTTTTGTGGCTGCTCTTTGCAGATTTTTATAGTTTTCATGTTTCCAAAATCGAAATACATATTTTTAACTTTTAATCTCACAGCGTGTTTTTTTTTTATTTGCAAGTTCTTTACAATAAAGTTTTACTACAAAAATATGCAGGTGGTGGGTCATGCCTGAAATGTCAGTTCTCAGGAAACTGAGGAGAGAAAGATAATCTCTCTTTGAAGCAAAAATTAAAAACTACAAATGTTTCAATAATTTTTCATAAAGATAATTTACCACGTATGGACAAAGCATAAGATGTTTTGCTTTAAAGGGACTCTTTCACACATGTGACATGCCCAGCCACACATAAGGCTTAACTTCCTCAACGCCCTAGTTCAATACCTCAGGTTACATTACTAGCTGAGTATGTAAATGCATTCATACATGAGAAACGTGCACTCACATGTGGACAGTAAGAGAGGCAGGCATAGGAAGAGGTGGAGGCAGACGGGACACACGTAAGGTCTTTTGGCATTTCCGGCTCCCCAAACACGAGTCCTTGTTATTTGTTACATGATGGTTGGAGACCATCACGCTGTGGCATCCCCTCCCGAGGGAAAGGCCCCAGCAAACCCAGCGACAGGGAAAGCAACCCCATACCTCTGAGGTGAGAGTCCGGAGAGTCTTGTTGGAAGACATCCAGCCGTTACAGGGATTGAGCTGAGAGGTGAAGAGCACGCTGGTTAGAGAGGTGTAGTCATAACAACAGGTCTGTGTACGGTCGCCCATACACGTGTGCATGTGAGTGTATGAGTGCGCACGTGTGTGTCTGTGTGTATACGTGCATGATGAGGCCGTGGGGGCAGACCCCTGGGCTTACCTGGAGACAGCTCAGGAAGGAGAAGAACTGTGCATAGGTTACATCTTTGTTTAGCTGGCCTGGAAGACAGAGGTCTGATATGTCATATGGAATCAGATGTCAATGCTCAGAAACATTTGTGGGTGTCCCCACCTCCCTTTCTGGTGGTGGCATTTGTCCTGATTTGAATATGTCACTTGGCCTAGCTTTGACGAATAGGAAAGGGCCCTAAGGTGTCTAGGCCCATTTTAGTCTGGGAGAGCACTGGCCTCATCTAATCTCTACAGGAAGGGATAGGGTCTCTTACAGTTCTAAATGGACCAGAGTGACCCGAACAAAGCATATCTCCAGGCAGCCCCTTCTTCTTGGTGATGTCATGAGATTCCAAGTTTCTATGAGGCCCCGTTTAAGGTGGGAACTGACTTTCTGAGCTTATGAAACACATAGGACTGACCCAGTTGTTCATGCTGAGAAACGGGCATTCAGAATGTCTGAAATTCTGAACCAAAACCTTCAAATATGGCTGAGGTAGCTCTGTAACGCGTGGGTGGGATGGCAATGCTAGCTCTTTCTTTTTTTTTTCTGTCTCTCTTAATGACAGTGAGTTAAGAACTTTTCTGTGGTTTTCTTATTGAGTCCTAGTTAGGAAATACATTTTGTGGTTATTTTTTGATTCAGGTTAAAGAGGTACATAAGAATGAAGGGGGAAAAGCTCACAGACTATTATAATTTGTAAATGAAATCTGTCCCATCCCACGTCTGAAACACTTCTTCCTCAGCCCGTGACACTGTCTTACTCCTAGCTGCAGGAAGTAGGTCATTAGGAGTGCATCTTTAAAGGTTATACCTGGTTTCCTCTTTTCTGTCTGCTTCCTGTTGGTGAGCCATCAGTTAAAGGGCCCCCACCTCCTCCATGCGCCTCCACTGCTATGACATCTGCCTGGGACCAAGCACTAAGGACTGAATCTTCCACACAATGAGCCCAAATAGACAATTCTATTTTTATCCTATGTTTGTCTCAGGTGTTATGGCACAATGGTGAAAAGGCTAATGCCCTGGAGTCTGTGCAGAAACCTTTGGAGCACTAACCACAGACACCGAGATGTTGCCTTTCTTCCAGCGCTGCCCCTCTCCATTTTTTATTTCTTTTATTATTAGTTACATTTTATTAACTCTGTATCCCAGCTATATAATGCTCCCTCATTCCCTCCCAATCCCACCCTCCCTCCCTCATCTCCTCCCTGCCCCTTTCCAAGTCCACTGATAGGGGAGGACCTCCTTCCCTTTCATCTGACCCTGTTTTATCAGGTATCTTCAGGACTGGCTGCAAAGTCCTCCTCTGTGGCCTAGCACCCTTGGGGGGGGGGTGAGGTCAAAGAGCCTGCCATTGAGTTCCTGTTAGAAATAGTCCCTGTTCCCCTTACTATGGGAAACCAATTGGTTACTGAGCTACCACAGGCTACATATGAGCAGAGGTTCTAGGTTATATCTATACATGGTTCTTGGTGGAGTGTCAGTCTCAGAAAAGACCCTTGTGCCCAGATATATTTGGTCCTTGTGGAGCTCCTATCATTTCCACATCATACTAACTCCCCTTTTTTCATGTGATTCCCTGCACTCTGCCAAAGGTTTGGTTATGAGTCTTAGTATCTGCTTTGATACACTGCTAGGTAGAGTCTTTCAGAGGCCCCCTGCAGTAGGCTCCTGTCCTGTTACTTGTTTTCTCCTATGTCCAATGCACATCCCATTTGTCTTTCTAAGTGAGGATTGATCATCTTACCCCATGTCCTCTTTCTTGTTTATCTTCTTTAGGCACATAGATTTCATTCTGTTTATCATATCTTGTAGGTCTATATAAGTGAGTATATACCATGTGTGTCTTTCTCCTTCTGTGATACTTCACTCAGAATATTTTCTAGATCCCACCATTTGCCTGCAAATTTCATGATTTCCTCGTTTTTGATTGCTTAGTATTCCATTGTGTAAAAATACCACAATTTCTGTATCCATTCCTCTTTTGATGGACATCTAGGTTGTTTCCAGGTTCTGGCTATTACAAATAAAGCTGCTACAAACATGGTTGAGCAAATGTCCTTGTTGTGTACTTGAGCAAATTTTGGGTATATGCCTAGCAGTGGTATAGCTGGGTCTTGAGGAAGCACCAGATTGACTTTACATTCCCACCAGCAGTGGAGGAAGGTTCCCCTTTCTCCACAACCTCTCCAACATATGTTGTCTTTTGAGTATTTGATTTTAGCCATTTTGATGGGTGTAAGGTGAAATTTCAGGGTCGTTTTGATTTGCATCTCCCTGATGGCTAAGGATGTTGAGCATTTCTTTTAAGTGTTTCTCTGCCATTGTATATTCCTCTACAGAGAATTCTCTGTTCAGCTCCGTACCCCATTTTTTTAATTGGATTACTTGATTTATTGCTTTTTAACTTCTTTAGCTCTTTATATGTTCTGGATGTCCGCCTTCTGTCAGATATAGGGTTGATGAAGATCCTTTCCCAGTCTGTAGGCTGTCATTTTGTTCTGATGACAGTGTCTTTTGCTTTACAGAAGCTTTTCAGTTTCATGAGGTCTCATTTAGTGATTGTTGCTCTTAGAGCCTGTGCTGTTGGTGTTCTGTTCAGGAAGTTGTCTCCTATGTCAATGAGTTCTAGGCCCTTCCTCATTTTTTCTTCTAACAGATTTAGTGTATATGGTTTTATGTTAAGCTCTTTGATCCACTTGGACTTTAGGTTTGTACAGGGTGATAAGTATGGATCTATTTTCATTTTTCTGCATGTAGACATCCAGTTGGACCAGCACCATATGTTGAAGATGCTGTCTTTTTTCCATTGAATGGTTTTGGCTTCTTTGTCAAAAATCAAGTATTCATAGGTGTGTGGGTTTATTTATGGGTCTTCTATTTAGTTCTATTGATCCTTCTTTCTGTTTCTATGCCAATACCATACAGTTTTTATTACTATTGCTCTGTAGTACAGCTTGAGATCAGGGATGGAGATACCTCCAGATGATCTGTTGTTGTACAGGACCATTTTGGAGATTCTGGGTTTTTTGTTTCTCCATATGAAGCTGAGAATCTTTTTTTCAAGGTCTGTAAAGAATTGAGTTGGTATTTGGATGGGAATTGCATTGAACCTGTAGATTGCTTTTGGCAGGATGGCCATTTTCACAATGTTAATTCTACCAATCCATGAGCACGGGAGATCTTTCTATCTTCTGATATCTTCTTCAATTTCTTTCTTCAGAGACTTAAAGTTTTTTTCAAACAGGTCTTTGACTTGCTTGGTTAGTGTCACCCCAAGGTACTTTATGTTATTAGTGGCTATTGTGAAGGGTGTTGTTTCCCTGATTTCTTTCTCGGTCCTTTTGTCTTTGGTATACAGGGCCCCTCTCCCTTTTTACAGCATGTCCCACCCACTCCAGATCAGTCAGTTTCCACGCTATGACTGACATAAAAGCCAGCTCCCCCACCCATCTCCAGGATGAACAGCTGGTGCTATGTCCATTAAACACTCTTATGCTCTCAAAACTTACAGAGGATAACAGAGCTTCTCAGAAAAAAGATCGCAGGCAATGGGACAGAGCCTTGCTTTGTGCTTGTATCTGAGGTAAGTTCTATGGAAAGGCAGAGTTGACGTGCTCATCATGGAGGAAACACACTTCCTCTCCCGGTGTGGTGAGGGATGGTCAGGTCTAGAGATCCACTGGCTACTATTCCCAGTAAAGTCGTAGAGATCTATCAGGTCTCTCTTTGGCATCATCATGTTTTAGATGACTCCAAAGCTTCTGTCCTTGCTTTCAATGTGTGGACTTGGCATGGACCATGAAGCTCATCTTTCTCCAAATTCCTGCTTCTACCTGCTGAGGTTCATACTTGTTTTGATTTTCTGCTTCCCCTCCTGATTTTGTTCTCTTTCTCTTTTTTTTTCTCTCTCTCTTTGTCCATCTCAGCCCCACCCTGCTCAATTGCACTGACAGATACCGTCAAGGCCATCCTGGTTCTTCCATGTGCCCCAGTGACTTAGGCTCTTTGCTCTGTGAACTGTAGCCTTTTTTCCTCTACCTTCTGTTAAAAACTCTGTTTCTGTTTGCTTGTTTGTTTTTTGTTTTATTTTGTTTTTAAACCTCTTTCCAACACCATCTTGTTCTTTGTTGGAATTAGGTCTCGTAGAAGAATTCACATGGCTTATCTGGTACTAATATACATTCTCCTTTATCCCTTTATTCTGCTTAGAGGCTGAAGTCTCTTCACACAAGAGGAGGCTATCTGCTCTGAGTAATAGTGCATCCACACTTTCCCTCTTTCAAGCCTTGATTGCTTTGATATCCAGAAGAACGCCATTTTGCCCTGCTCCACGGGTACTGGGAGCACCACTACCAGACAGGCCTTGAAGGTTAAGCCTAGCCACAGCCTTGTTCTATCTGCTTTGCTCTCCCCTCTGCTGTCCTGCCAAGGATTAGGGTCCTGGGTATACCCTGATCACTGAGTCCAGTCTCCCTTCCTTTGCCTTCTATTGCTTACTGTCTGAACACTGGCTCCCTCTGAGCCTGCTGGACAGAAGGATAGGTCTGCTGAACAGGGTGAAGTCCCCATTATATAGTAGACGACAGTGGGGGAATGTTAACAACTCTCTTTCTTCTATCTTGAATTTGCCAGTTTGAAGGAAGGATACCTCTGGGGTGCTCAAGTAAGAGTGGTTAGGAGTGCTTATAGTGCACGAATGGTCTAAAAGAAAGGAAGAGGAAGTGCAGCATTCTCTCTCTGCTGGCACCAACTCTGTTTCTTTTTTATTAATTTCACTTTATTCACTTTGTATCCCCCCATAAGCCCCTTCCTCCTCCACTCCCGATCCCACCCTCTCACCCCCTTCTTCACGCATGCCCCTCCCCAAGTCCACTGATAGGGGAGGTCCTCCTCTCCTTCCTTCTGATCTTAGTCTATCAGATCACATCAGGATTGGCTGCATTGTCATCTTCTGTGGCCTGGTAAGGCTGCTTCCCCCTCAGGGGGAGGTGATCAAAGAGCAGGCCAATCAGATTATGTCAGAGGCAGTCCCTGTTCCCATTACTATGTAACCCACTTGGACACTAAACTGCCATGGGCTACATCTGTGCAGTGGTTCTAGGTTATCTCCATGCATGGTACTTGGTTAGAGTATGAGTCTCTGGGAAGACCCTTGTGTTCAAATTTCTGGTTCTGTTGCTTTCTTTGTGGAGTTCCTGTCCTCTCCAGATCTTACTATTTCCCACTTCTTACATAAGATTCCATGCACTCTGCCCAACAGTTGGCCATAAGTCTCAGCATCTGCTTTGATAGTCTGCAGGGCAGAGCCTTTCAGAAGCCCTCCATGGCAGGTTTCTAGTTTGTTTCCTGTTTTATTCTTCTGATGTCCTTCCTCTTTGCCTTTCAGGATGGGGCTTGAGCATTTTAGTTAGGGTCTCTTGATTAGTTTCTTTAGATGTACAGATTTTAATAAGTTTATCCTATATTACATGTCTATATGAGTAAGTATATACCGTGTGTGTGTTTCTGCTTCTGGGACAGCTCACTCAGGATGATCCTTTCCAGGTCCCACCATTTACCTGCAAATTTCATGATTTCCTTCTTTTTCATTACTGAGTAATATTCTATTGTGTAGATGTACCACAATTTCTGCATCCATTCTTCAGTTGAGGGGCATCTGGGCTGTTTCCAGCTTCTGGCTATTACAAATAAAGCTGCTACAAACATGGTTGAGCAAATATCCTTATTGTGTACTTGAGCCTATTTTGGATATATACCTAGGAGTGGTATGGCTGGATCTTGAGGAAGCACTATTCCTAGTTGTCTGAGAAAGCGCCAGATTGATTTCCAGAGTGGTTGTACAAGTTTATATTCCCACCAGCAGTGGAAGAGGGTTCCCCTTTCTCCACAACCTCTCCAGCATGTGTTGTCACTTGAGTTTTTCATCTTGGCCATTCTGATGGGTGTAAGGTGAAATCTCAGGGTCTTTTTGATTTGCATTTCCCTGATGGCTAATGACGTTGTTGAACATTTCTTTAAGTGCTTCTCTGCCATCCTATATTTCTCTACAGAGAATTCTCTGTTTAGCTCTGTTCCCCATTTTTTAAATTGGATTACTTGGTCTGCTGCTTTTCAGCTTCTTTAGTTCTTTATATGTACTGGATATTAGTTCTCTGTCAGAAAAAAGGGTTGGTGAAGATTCTTTCCCAATTTGTGTTTTTTTTTTTTTTTAACCTATTTTTGTTTTCTCATGGAAGAGTACTGTGTGTTTGCGATCCCTGGTCAAAAAGACTTCTTAATAAAGCAGCAAGGGACTCGGGGAGGCAGTTTAACAGTGTAGCTAGAACATGTGAGAGTCTGCCTTTGATGCCAGCAGCAAAATGAAAATAAAATCCAGTGGTGGACAATGGGACTGTCCACAGTGACCAGTGACCAGTGTTAGTGTGTGTTCAGTTGCCCCGTGCTTGCACCCATAGATGCCAAAGGCTCTCTCTAAAGATTAAAGAGTGAGAGTTTATACTTTAGACGACTAGAACACACAGTTTTTATGTTAGAAATTTATAAATTCCTTACAGTAGTCTGATATTTATATTCATTTATCTATATCTCTCATATTTAGACTAGCTATCATTTATCTCCCTACCTACATATCTTTCATTTCTCTCTTTCTTTCAATCTTTGCCTATAAGGGTAAGAAGCTTTATGAGCAGGAAAGCTATGCTCTTTAAGTCAGGCAGGCCAGTACTTTGCTTAGATAATATTTGTGATACACTTTCATGGAGCAAATGACTTTATCTTAAATGGCTGTGAGTCCGAATGTAGATATCTATTTTTTTTCCTCCAGTAAAGAGACTAGAGATCTGATTATCAGTTCTTTTTCTCCATGTAAACAGGGGTGGAAATTTTTAAGGAGGTAGAGGAATTAGCTTAACCAGGAACTACAGGAGGAAGAGGAGGAGGAGGAAAAGGAGGAAAGGAGGAGAAAATGAGGAGGAAAAATAAAAAAGTCCATAGATGTTATGTCCTCACGGGGAAGCTCTGGCTTATTTTCAAAGAGGAACCACCCATAAAGAGAAGATTTTACTAATTTACATACATATACATTCCACATAGTAATATCTTAAATTATCCTTAAATCTTTTTTAGGTCCTAGTCCAGTCTGCACTCTGATTAATTTATACAGAGCTGGGAGACTGCAAATCTGGTCACTTGGGCATATGGGAGATTTACAGCAAAGAAGTTGTCAGAATTATTTCTTCAGTACACTGGTGTTTTTCTTTTTGAATAGCCATCACCCAGGTCCATCTTGTGAACTGGCAGAATTATGCTTCTCCTGATAAGAGTACGGGGGATTTAAATGCAGGCCGGGACTTAATGGTGGTTGTGATCCTGTGTTGACCCCTTGAGGATGGAGGCTGCTTTCTTTGTTGTGGGAATGGAGTCTAATTGGAGCGGTAGCATCAGCAGAACATTTCTTACCGTCCCTTAAATTCAATTATAGTACAAACTTTCTTTCTCATAGTTTCTATCAAGCCTGGCTAGCACACTACTTGTCTCTAAGTTATATTGGAGGGAGCTTTCCTTTAGTTCAATTCTGCTTTGTGTAACTTAGTATTTCCTAAGCAAGCTATTAGTGAATCCCTCATAGCATAAATTTTACTACTTTGAATTTCTCCAGCATATATATATGTATGTATATATATATATATATACATATACATATACATATATATATCACCCATCACAATACAGATCACACAAATTCTACATTCACACATTGCACACACATCATATGTACACACTGCATCCACACATGCGCGTACACACACATCCACAAACGCATACACATGGTTGAAGAAGAAAAGAATTTGTAAGCATAATATACCTAGAGGGTGGTATTGGTTGTGCAAACTATCCCAGAGAAAAGTTCCATCTGGCAGGCCATATAAAATAACATGGCTGCCATTGGGCAGGTGGGAATTTAGATGCTTCAGAGTCTGCATGACATTGGAGTACATTTGTTCGGGAGTGGTCATTTCTGCAACTGTGTCCGATTTCCTGTTGGTGGAGGGAACAGAAGGTATCTTGTTTATCAGGACAGTCCCATACAAAACACACTGTATGCTGGTTATTGGTACCATTTTGCAAAGTACTTATGACTTCCTACCTTCCTGGCATATAGGCAGACTGTATTTATTGATGCAGAGAGAGAGAGAGAGAGCGAGAGAGAGAGAGAGAGAAAGACTTGTGTTCCTAAAGAACATTCAGTGAGTATATCAAGAAGTAAAATTTTATGACTTTATACTACTAAGACTTTAGAGGTGTTTGTTTCTTTTCTTTTCTTTCTTTTTTTTTTTTTGTTTTTTGTTTTGGAGCATAAACTCATTTATCCTGACTCACAGCTACTGAAGAGTGTCTGGCATTACTTAAGACTTCTCTCGAGCTTTGAACCCTAACATTTGCTTTTTAAAGCTTGTACACAGACCACAGTAGGGAGGCAGAACATCACTAAGGAATGAAACTACTTTATGTGCACTCGCTCTTTTACCCCGTATTCTACGTTTTTGTACTAAATTTGGGCTTTCATCATTCTTCTGATAGACTATTATTCTGTTTATTTTTGCAGGGATATTTACTAATAATCATATTTCATACTACTATCATTCTCTGTTTGGTAGTTGTTGTGCTATGGAGAGCATATTAAAAATAAACCAGAGAAATCTCAAATAAACGAGTTAATGATGTACCTTTAGGCTTTGGAAAAAGAAAGCAAGCCAAACTCAAATGCGGTGGATGGACAGAAATAAGTAGAACAAATGCAGATGGACAGAAATAAGTAGAACAAGACAGAAATAAATAAACTACAAAGGATCATTGAAACTTAGATTTGATTCTTTGATAGAAACAAGATCAACAAACCCTTAGCCAAACTAATTCAAATAAAGAAAGAGGACATCAAACTTAATAAAATAGAAATGGAAAAGAAGCTGTTAGAACAGATACCAATGTAATTCAGGAAATCATAAGGATATACCTGGAACATTATGTTTTACTAAATTAAAAAATTAATAGAAATAGATGAATTTCTGGATACATATAACCTATCAAAGTTAAACCAACATGATATAAATCATTTAAGCACATCTATAACTAATGATATTGTAGCAGTAGCAGGAAGCTGCCCAACAAAGAAAAGTTCAAGACACTTAAGGAAGATCACATATCAATACTTCACAAATTATTCCATAAAATGGTAAAGGAAGAAATTTCCAAGCTCTTTTTACGAATCCATTAAAACCTAGATAAGGCCTTATCCAAAACAACAACAAAAAATACAGACCAATCTCCATGACTGACATAGATGAAAATAGTTCAACAAAATACTTGAAAAAAAAAGTCAAGAACACATATAGAATGTGATCACCGTGATCGAGTTGACTTCGTTCCAGAGATGCAAAGATAGCTTGACATGTGCAAGCCAAATAAATGTAATACTTACACAGGTTGGCCCAAGGAATTGAACAAATAATTTTAAAGGAAATACAAATGAGCAATAAATGTGTTTCCAAGTATCCAACATCCTCAGCCACCTTAGATATGAAAATTAAAACTACTTTGAGGTTCTCCTTCCTCCCAGCTAGAATACTGTAATCTGGGACACAGATGACCACAGATGTTGGTAAAGACATAGGGAAAAGCTGGTATTCCTCTTCTGTGGGGATGTAAGGAGGTCTAGCCACTGTGAAAACTGATAAGGAGGCTTACCAAAAAAATAAGCATAGAACGACCATATGACCCACCTAGAGCATTCCTGAACATACACCCAAAGGACTCCGTATCATACCAAAGGCATATTTGTCCATTCTTGACTACTGGTGCTCTTTTCATAATAGCGAGGAATAGAATCACTTTAAATGCCCCTCGGGTGAGGAATGAAAAATGTAATGCACATACACAATGAGGTTTTACTGATCACCCAAAGTTTCTGTAGCTCACACACATTTGCTCTCTTTCAGAAGTGTTTCTATTTTTGTGTCACATTAAAGAGTTTCAGGGATAGTGAGTCGCCTTCGGCAAATGAGACAGCATCATAGGGGAAGTATTACGTGTATCCACATTGCCTTTCTTCCTGAATTCCTGATGCTGAAAGTTGTCTACCAGTCATGCAATTAGAGAACTGAGAGACAGATAGCTGCATTATTGAATGAGAGTTGGAACATTACATACGTGTGTGTGTGTGTGTGTGTGTGTGTGTGTGTGTGTGTGTGTGTTGAAGGTGTAAAGAAAGAAAAACCAAACTCCTGAAGCATGTTCCTAGACAGACCTGGTAGTCAACCTTCTAGCTTGAGTTTTGTACAGAACCTTTTTGCTCATTCTGGGATATCTACTCCACCTTGATGTTCTGTCATCTGTCTTTCTTTTTCTAACCCCAACCATAGGACATCACAAAGTGGGAACTGCAGAGACATCTCACACTGTCCTTGATCCAAATGCTTGGTGTTTCTCCACCCAGAGAGATCCCTGTTTGTGTGGGGTGGGGGCATGGGCCTTTAGCTGATGTGTCTGATATTTGGCTGCTTGGAAAAAGGAAAGCAGGACTGGGTTGAAGAGACCTCTGGAAAAATACACAGTCTCATTGATTCTGACTTTTGGAGGGAGCTCCTTTCTGCAGGTACTATATCCATTTGTGAACTGGACTGAAGGGACATTATCTGGCCAGACCAAAGCTTGTTCTTTTTTGCAGTGAAGGCTGGGGAGCACATTTGCTTCTCCTTTGTGAGTTCCCTGAAGTCAGAGACTTGGGCCTTCTGCCCTTGGATCCTAGAGGCTGACCTAGTATATGGTTTATCGATGGTGCTTTAAGAAAATGAATGACCTGGAGAAGACAGGAGCACCACAATGAGAGCAAAAGAACCAAAAAGTCTGAGCACGGGGGTCTTTTCTGAGACTGATACTCTACCCAAGGACCACTCATGGAGATGGCCTGGAACCCCTGCACAGATTTCAGTGTCCAAGTGGGTTCCATAGTAATGGGGACAGGGACTATCTCTGACAGGAACTGGTTGGCCTGCTCTTTGATCACCTCCCCCTGAGGTGGGAGCAACCTTACCAGGCTACAGAGGAAGACAATGCAGCCATTCCTGATGAGACCTGTTAGACTAGGATCAGAGGGAAGGGGAGGAGGACCTCCCTTATCAGTGGACTGGGGGAGGGGCACAGGTGGGGAAGAGGAAAGGAGGGAGGGGTTGGAAGGGAGGGAGGTACAGGGGGGATACAAAGTGAATAAACTGTAATTAAATATAAATAAAAAATACAATGGGGAAAATAACACATAGATCATAGTTAATATTGGCTAGAGTTTCAGAATTATTTCATATTTGTTTTAAGAATAGGACTAAAGGTCATTTTTGGAAGAAGAGTAAAATAAAAATGGATTTTAACTATTACTGAAAAAAAAAAAGAAAATGAGTGAATAGTAGAATGTAAAGAAGACCAGAGTGATCCAGGGAAAGAAGACAGAATTTGGTTAGAGATCCTGAAGCTCCTAGCTTTGCTACTCAATGGCAGTAGAACAAATTCCTTTACTTTGTGAACCTGGGTTTCCTCACCTGGAACAAACAGACATACTTGCCTCTTTGGGTTGCTATAGGGATGAAATGAAACAGAAAACAAACAAACAAACAAAAAACACAAAAAAGCAACATATCTTGGACCAGGCACAACAGGTCTTAAGTGGCATGTACTCTTTACTGGAAAGTCCTGAGTGACTCATCACAGAGGCAGGGACGTAGCTTTGGGGTCCTGGAGGGGCCTATATCTGGACTGTTTCATGAGCAACTATGGATCATAGAGTGGCATGTCTCACCTTGAACTGGTTGATCTGTACTTTGTTTAGAGTTCTATGAAAGCAGATGAGCCTTAGCTTTATTGGGCTTTGTACTCAGCACAGGCTTGGGAGGTCAGTGAATGGGTAGGAGAAGGGGAGAACTCCCACTGTCCAATAATGAGTTATGCTACCTCGAGCAAGTCTCATACTCCTTGTTAGTTTGTCTTTTCTGTTTCCACAAATACTGGGCACATGGCCACTTAGTGCTGCTCCCGATCCTGTCTCACCTTTTTACTCTTTGGCCACAATCACAGGCCAGATGCCCACACGCAGCATATTTTGAGGGGTGTACATGGGTTTTGACACAGCTCTTCAAATGTTGAGGGATTACTATCACTAATATTGCAGTTTAGCAAGACCTCTTTTACTTTGGACTATCAGAATAAATAGGATCAGATGGGAGTTACATGTAGTTTCCTTGCAAATGCCAAGTCTATGCTGTCTTTTCTGCACAAGGCGGTCAGAATATGAGCATGGCATGTGTTCTTGTGAGATGACTGTGCTGTGTTTAAAATGCCGTGGCTTCTGGCCTTGGATCTTGGTGAAGCATATTTCTTATGATATAACCGGTGGTTGTTCCTGGAATGCCTTTTTGTTTTGATGTCAGAATTGAGAGCTAGCAGATCAGATTCAGTTTTTCAGTTTTACAGGCTATTCCTGTTGATTTGACGTACCCACAGCTTCCTTCTCAGATAAACTTATTTGACATCTGCACATTATAGTAGACTTGGGTGGAGAGTGGAAATGGGGGAAAGAGCTAAATCCCAGTTAAATAGGCCCATTATCATCTTCTTAGCATTGTTGGCATTTTTCTCAATGACTTACCCATTGCAGACATCATTTCCAATCATGGCATAAATGACAATGGCTGGATGGTCTAAAGCCTGGTCCCTAGACAAACTGAGAAAGCATAGGGTATAGCCTCAATTCAATTTTCCACTAGGAAATGGCACATCAATGCATAATATTGAGTAGTAGGTTGAAATACCTGCTAAATATGCCCACCACCGTCTTCTTAGCATCATTCACAGCACTTACTATATACAACACTGGTAAGTTAGTTGAGATACTTATGCCCGGTTTCATAGGAAATCCTCAGAGCTGTGGCGGTCTATTCAACTCACAGAGGCAAGGGTTTCCCAAGGTTTCTGTACAGGACACTACAGCCTCACTTCTTGTGGCAGCCAAAATGGAGTTGGTAGCCAAAATGGAGTGTGTATTGTTGTTTGGTGCTAAGTCTGAGCAGCGGGGTTTTGCCTTCTGGCCTTGGCAGACATGGGTCTAATCTAAAGCTCAGTTTCTCAGAGACTGACCTTGGCAATCCGTGCAATGGGGATCTCTGTCCCTGAGAATTAGATAATAAACTCTGTACAACTGTGGGAACCAGATAGCAAATTCTGTGTAACCTTGAGTGAATTCTCGGACGCCTTGCCAAATGAAGCTGCTACCGTGAGAAACTACTTGTAAATTTCTGTTTTATAAGTGCTGCTTTTCCCATTATTAAATGGCACCTTGATCAGAGTCTTGACTTGGTATCCTCCTTTTTGTCACCCTGCTCTTTTTCCCCCAACCCTCACTCAGGCGGTATTCAAGTATCGCTGCAGGCAGCGACAACTTCTGAAATTTAACATCCAAAAAGACACACAAAAAATTTAACTTGTCAGGCATGATAGCTCAGCACTTGGGAGACTATGGCAGAAGGATTGGATGAGTTTGAGATGAGTCTGGGTGATATAGTTAGCTGTGGGGGCTACAGTGTGAGACTCTGTCTTAAAAACAAAAACAAAACCAAAACCCCTCAAAATGGTTTTCTTATTTATAAGCCAGACTATGATGTAATCATTATGTTTTTGCAGTTTTTTCTATCAGAGTTAAATTTTATTCAATTCAGATTCACCTTATAGTGCATTGAGACATACAAATGAATCACTTTCCAAGGTTACTGGCCCAAGAAAGAGGATGGTCAGTGTTCAGACTGTGACTAACAAACTATTGATTCTCAGTAGAAATGATAATGGGGTAATCATTCCTTTCAAGATAATTAACCATATTTAAAACAGTTTCTTAGAACTATCTTCCACTTACCTTTCTATAAAATTCTTCAGATTTCTGGAAGATGCACCTGAATAATTACAATGAAGAAAAAAACTTGTTAGTGAGTTTCAGTGACACCACTGACATGAGAGTCTAATTGGCTGAATCTAAACCCCAGTGTTCAGCCATCAGAGGCCATCCAGACTCACTGCCACTGCTGATGGTGGTTGCTTGCTTCCAGTGATTTTCTGTGCTATTCTATTTTCGATCTCACCTTCAGGGGTTTTCTGCTTACTTGGCATTGTACTAACAAAACCCAAAGCCCTTTGAATCAGTGGGTTGCCATAGATGGGTAAATGATTTAGTAGATGTAAGAAAAAGTAACTGTCTCCAAAGAGACAAAGAACCCCAAAAACTAAGGATTAGAGAGACAGAAAAAGGATTCTCTGGGAGACACATTTTTCCTGGACACCCCCATTTAAGGTCCTTGTACTCAGAACACTGAGTCCTGAAGGTAGAGAGCCTCTCTGGACAGTTACATCCCCTCTCAATCGCACCCCCCTCCAGTCCAATGATAGTCTTCCTCCCCTTCCATCTGACCATAGTCTATCAGGCTTCATCAGGACTGGCTTCTTTTTCTTCCTCTCTATGTCCTTTTGACAAAGTTTGCAGACCATTTGTAAGTAGTCGTAGCAAATTAAGAAAAAATAAATAAATAAAACAACAAAAAAAAAAGGCAGCCACAGCTGGGGTTAGAAGTCACCTGTAATATAACAGCACCCTGGAGGCAGAATTTCAAGAATTAAAGGTCAGCTTGGCCTATATGGTAAGATCCTATCTCAAAATGTCAACAACCAACCAACCAAAAAAATAAAAACAAATAAAAAAAACCATGAAACAAAATTAATCACAAAAATGAAACAAGGAATTACGTGTTCTTTACTTGAATGCCTTAATTTTTTTCTTGTACTGAATGCTCTCTGCTCTAAAGTACTTGTATTTTTTCATTTTCTTCATTTCCTTGTGGAATCTCAGTTTTATAATGTTACCAAGTGGTTTGTGTATTTCCTATGCTACTCTCTCATGTGTCCATTCCTTTAATTTCTGCTACTCTTTGGACACATTCAGCTCCACATCTTTCTCCCTTCCAATCTCTGTTATCCTCTTCAGAAGGTGTCTCCCAGCTGCTCACTGCTGATGGGCCGGCCATTGGAGAAAATACTACAGCAACGGCAGCTGGCAAGTAATAAGCACCAAATACAGCACCTTGCCCATGGGATGTGGCAGAGTAAGGCAAACAATTGAAGAACTTACATGGTTTGTACTCTGCAATTATAATTTCACAGAAAGGAAAAATGTTTGACCCTGGAACAGACAACTTCTATTTATTTATTAAGGCGATCCAATGGGGAACCTACATGTTCCCAGTTAAGAATAGAAGAGTCCATATAGGCCTTTAAAGACTTTACTGTTGTGTCCTTTAAATAGGGTGTATCATATCACAAGAGGAGGAGGTCTCGTGATCTCAGCCTTAGTTAGCCTCCCATCTGAATTTCAACACATTTTCCCCCAGCTTGGTTAGTATTGACTACATCTCACGTTCTTTGTGTTCTCTTAAGTTAGAAAATAATTCTGACGGTCTTCGAAGTAAACCTGTTATGTTTAGTGCCTGACAGAAGGTCCCAAACTCTTCATGGAGAGAGAAGGAGAGTATTTAAATATAAGCAGAATAAGTCTTCATAAATTAAATCATTACTTCAGCAAAACGTATTGAATGTTTACTGTGTTAGGTATTATAATTGGTTCTGGGTATGTATAAGTCAGTGAGTGGAAAAGACACAGCCCCATTCTTTGGAAGCTATAGTCATAAAGTTTTGGGGATTCAGAAAGCTCTGGGGTTAAGATGAATTCCAGCAACTTAACCATTTCTTTTACTGAGGTCTTAAAATAGGAACGTATTAATTGATCCACAATTCAGTGCTCAGAAACAGTTCCAGCCAAGGTCTATAATACTTGTGACTATCTTCGGAGGACAGAACAAATCTGGGCTGTTTGAATTCTGGAGTTTACATAATTCTGGAGACTCTTCATAAGGAAAAGAACATAAACACAAAACAGATCTAGACATTAATCAGAAAATACAATGCAGAGACAGGAGTCAAGACCAACTGTGGTCAAAACACTGAAATCTTGCAACTTTCACAGCTAAGGATGGTCACCACTCAAGTGAGGGGACCCCAGGTTTCAGCAGCATTCGCTGTAAAACCTGCCTCCTGACACTCTTCATGACACGTCATTAGTGCTTGGTCAGGCAGCCAGATTTATAGATACGGCCCAGAAACAGGAAGAGAAACACTTCTGATTTCTGCCGAGCGTTGTCATCACTGTAATGTCTGTAATAAATGGCAGCGATTTAAAGTGCATTATTTTAGCTCTTGTGTAAGAATCTTGTGGAGAGAATTAGGAAGCACATTTTAGTTTATTAACCACAAATACATTCGGACAAAACATGCAGTGTCTCAGAATCATGTGCTAGACTCTAAGTTCAAACGTCTACAGGTGCAGTGCTGACAAACCGCAACTAGGAAGAGCAGCCATTGCTCGGCCCTGATGAACTCGCATTATCCAGGAGGAGCGTCCATGTTGTCAGACTTGTCTTTAAAATGGAAATTGAGAATATGGGACTTTTGCCAGAAATCTACTGATGTTAAACATTGTCAGCATCACAATGAGACATATGGAGACAAATATACTCGCACACATAAAATAAAAATAAATGATTAAAAAAACCTAACAGTGCCACACAAACACTGTATTTCTCTAACTTCATGTGAGGGAATGCCTTTTTCATGTGTGGATTGGATTGACATTTCCAGAGAATTTTTACGACTTTTGTCCTTTTTAGTTTAGGCTAATATACCTATATATTTTTGTATATATGCATAAATATGTATGCACACATATACGTATGAGTTTCCATATCTATAAGAAATTAAATATTGCGGTTTAAAAAGAAGCTGCACACAGCTGTGGACCCTGTGTGACCTCCACCTATCTGGGCTCTCTTGTGCAGGATGACAGTGGATCTATTTGTGCTGAATAACTTTACTCTGCCCCCGCCCCCTCATTTGTGCTTGTGTATTTTAACAGAGGACACTACTTCTCTAAAAATTTAAGATTAAAATAATGATCTTCCTTCCCTTCCTTTCTGACAATATGGTTCTGAGATTACAGGTGTGTGTCACTATGCCTACTTAAAATTTTTCCAGTATTCTGTTTGAAGGTCTTGGTGGTTCTTCAGGGGTTGGGAACGCTGTTCTCCTGCTGAGCCTTTCTTCGGAGACAGACTTAAGACAATAGTCCCATCAGAGTCAGTCCCTCAGAGGTGGAGTCTCACATGGATGGTTACACGCTGTAGAGCCTAGAGGTATTCTAATGAACATGTTTCAGCAGATATTGCTGTGCCAGTTGACATGAGTTTCCCAAGCATGTGGTTCACGGAGGGTCTTGGGCTGCCAAGCCACCCATGAGGCAAGGATCTTTCAGAAATGGCATCCTATGATGGAGAATGCTAGGAACACAGGGTTTTCTAGATGTTTCCTGCCAGTGAGGTTTCCACCTCCTTTTGTCTGGCTATGCCCTCACTTCCTGCTCTTGTGTTTGTGTTGTATATATGTGAGTGTGCAGATATGTGTGTCTGCATGCAAGTGTGGAGGCCAGAGGAGTATTTTGGAGGCTTCCCTCTCCTATTCTCTGCCTGTCTCACTGAACCAGAAGTTGGCCATTTTGGCTAGTCTGCTTGGCCAACAAGCTCTTGGGAATCTACCTGTCTCTTTCCCCAATGCTGGGGTTGCAGGCACAAGCAGTTATATGTAGCTTTTTATATGGGTGCTCGGGATTTGAACACAAGTACTCATGCCTGCCGAGCAAACACTCTTACCTTCAGAAACAGCTCTTTGGCCCTTCCTGCTCTTTAAAAATGGCCATTGTTGAAAGCACAGTGCAGATTTTCCGAGCCTGTCTTAAGCCATGGCTGGTGCTATCTGCTGTTATTGCTCCTTTCACTGTGAGTGGGAAGTCCCCAAACCATCCAGTTACTCAGGAATGGTCTCTGGTCTTTCCTTCTTCTTTAGTGAGGTTCTTTATCTGTCTTTGCTTTGAAAGCTAGAGCTATTCAGGCACACCCACCTCTTCTGACAGCATTATCCAATTTTCTCCAGTTCAATTCATGGCTACTCTAGTAGACCATGCTTGCATATCATCTGCCAGCTTCCTTTCTCCACATAAACTAGAGAAGTAAATGCCATAGAATTTTCTCATAGTTTTCTAATTCATCAAGAATTTTCAGGAGAATGATTTGTTGAAAAAAAATAACGCGATAATTTTACATTTCTTCTCTTCTAAAAATGTTTGCAGTAAACAGACACATTCAGACAAAGATATTGATCTTGGGCCCCAGATCCCAAGCATTTAACGATTGTTTGCTGTGACAGTTCCTGACAGTGTGTTTACATCTGAGAATGTCTCAGATTACTATTTCAGTAGCAAACTAGACAAATTTCCTAGAAATATTTGAATAGGATAGAATATGATTCCAGTTGTGGCTCTAATCTACCTCCCAGGGATACTGCATCACAAGTATTCCTCACTCGTGTTGATTAAGGGAGAACTGCTTCTCCCCAGAGCTGTTTTCCACTCGAGCTCCACCTATCCCCCCTCACTGTCCTCAACTTGTACCTTCTGGGTACTGCTTGAACTTTAACTTTGCTGTGAAATCTACCTCTCCAGAGTTAGGTGCCTCTCACCTCCAGTGACTGCAATTTACTTTGGCCCTAGTGACATCCCGACAGAACTGGGATTACGTTATTGTTTGTATCTTTTCGGTTTTGCTGTGATCTCCATGAAGGTGGGGCCTTTACCTTGCTCATCTTTCTATTTTTAGAACCCATTGCAATATTGAACAGGAAGAAAGTGAAGACAAGGAGGCAAGCACATTCAGGCTTACACAAATCCCAAGAGCATTTAAGCTGTCAATAGACACAGCAGATAGCTTTCCACTTGATGTCTTTTACCTAAAGCTCTAAAACA